GGTAAATTCGTACACGGTTATATGATATCAATATTTTGTTAGCCAATGCACCAGGTCGGTATTTCTCGAAGTATAATTTCGAAGAATGTCGTTGATGGGTTCTTCTTCTGCTGTTTGTTTCCTTATGCGTCATTAGATGACATTTTTGCAACAGTGTTCTCTATACGGGCAAAACGTCTTAGAGTGCCAACCTCCAAGTGACCAACATGGAGATAGGGGCTGGTTGTCTGTGATGAATACTTTTCTTGGGCAGAAATCTTTTGTTTCGCATACAGTATGAACGTGTGGCAACCGACTATTATTTTCAACCATGGAAGTATCGTGTTTCAAGTTCACCAGTCTATGGCATTCTGAGGTTACTTCCTGTCATGTTATGTTCAGACACTGTTCAATTCTGCTCAAAATTGTGGTTCTCATATCAGCATCTTCAGAAGATTGTAGGCTGCATACAAATACGAGACACCTAAACTGATCTTCTGTCATTGTTGATAGTTTGAAGCGCTCACTCTGACGGTGTACTAAAACGGCATGCTTCACCCAGTCATCATCAGCTGCATTTGTTATCTTGAGACATTGATAAAGACTATTGAACAGGGATGACAGTTCGGCAAATATTTATGACAAAGTATCAATCGTTGTATCAAAAGAAAAACCGGCGAGACAATAATTTATGGACCAGTCGATCAGAAGAATCTGAGGGATTTCAAAGTCACGGCGCCAATTTCAGTACCTGATGCTCATGTACGATCGGTTCACAGAGTAAATGATTAAATGATAAACTTACACAAGTCGAGCACAGAAATAATGTTGAATGTGGTGAGGTCGAGAGGGTTTTCGTGATCTTATCACACTAGCAATCTCTAGTGGGTTTGAACCAGCTTTATCCAGTTACAACGTTTGCGGCATTACTATAAAATATTCTAGAAAGGATTAACTACTAATTGAAGTGAAATACTTCATGATTGATCATCAAATTGTGACGACTGCCATAGTTGACCATTCCTCAGTGTCAACTCGCTTGAAACTTGAGTCCAAATTTCTTGCCAATCTCTTCCAATAAACTTATATTATAAATAATCTACTTGACATCAAGTTGCTTAGACCAGTAGGTGAACTAAACGTTAATCATTAAGATTTGATCAGCGTTCAACGGATTGGACAAACACAACAGTGGTCACTACTCAATTAATATAAACCATTTATATATTTGTAACATCAAATATTAGGGGAAGAAGGAAATAAACATCCTAATCACTTTGAATTCCATTGAAAGTAATTTTCAACACAATCAAACATTTTATTTTGTTTTTCTTCTCTCTATTGTGTCAAAGAATTCCTTTCTTGGTTTATAGTTTAGTTTATATGATGTAAAACTCCGACTGTGGCACTTATAGAGTTACAGCCGGCCCTAGGCCCATCCCATCCAGTAGAAAACTAACTCGTTGAAGAATCGCTAACCAGAACTGATGGGTGGCCTATTCTCCTCCACAAGGGCTAACAGGCTTAAGTAAGTACGTAATTTATATAATGTCTGCAATTTTCAAGACCATTCATCTGATTACATCATCACTCAGTGTTAACAGGACCACCATTGATACAAGATAAGGTATTTCGTCATTGTGTAAATCACATTACAACCATTAACTTTGTACCTTCATATGTGTATATATCAGTATTGGTTGAATAATTTATCAACAATATCTATACCCTGATTATCTGTTAAATACTAATCTTATCTTTGAAAGAATTCATCTTATCTATTTATTGTATTACAGTACAAAGACCATTATATGTCGTTTTGTATAAACAAAGCAAATTCTAATTGTAAATCAACATTCATTCTCTATTACCTATACAGTTTCAATACTAATCGAAATACTACTGTTAATCATATCACTATTATTATAAGTAGTTTTGTTACCCCTATTCAAAAGTGTTATTAATCAGGAAGAGTTTGGTTGTTACAATGAAATGTAAGTGAATAATATTGGTTGAATAGAAAGAATTATTAACTTGGCGGCATTTGGTATTATTAACACATTCATCTTCCTATTGTTGCTTACGACTGTAATGGATCCGTTTATCTCTTATTGATATTATGTTCATACTGTATGGTTTGCTTCGCTATTGCCTTAATTCACAAGAATTATAAGTAAATATAGATCGTGGTTTATAGTGAAAACCAACTTCATATGCCTTTCGTCCTTTTCGTGACCCATCAGCTGACTGTACCTTCTTTATCAGAGTTAATGTCCAACTATTTATTTTTGCTTATCAAATTCATTTCATTAGTTTTACTTTCTTATTCTTTTTAAATCTAGTTGAAAAACATGAAGAAAGTTATTCAACGGAATTGAATAGTAACAATGTAGGTTATTGATTTGTTTGTTTATTTATCCAATTACATCATAATATGAACATCTATATTAGAATAGAACTAAATCAACAAGTAACCTGTGAATATTTTTATCCGAAGGTAATTTATTAAAACAAAACAAGATGGTACCTAATTTGTAAGCCAAGTGCTATAGATTTCCTACAATGATTAATCATATGAATAATGAATTATCTTTTACTATTATCGTGAGATCATTTCATTCATTTGGAATCATTTGATTCTGTTTATATTAAGCAAAACATTTAAGAAATTTTTCGAATCCAGGGACTGTGTTGTTAGTCTATGTTTGTAAGTTTTCAATTGTATGGTATGTATTTCCGTTATAATGAAAACTTTTATTTTAAAAAAATATTATTTAGTAATTACTTACTTACGTCTGGAGCATAAGCCGTCAACTAACATTCTCCAACACACTCTGTCCTGTGCCTTCCTTTCTAGTCCTTCCCATACGTTGTTCATTCTTCTCATGTATGTCTCCATTCATGACAGTAATGTGTTCTTTGGTCTTCCTCTTCTAAGTTGACCTCCGAGATTCCGTGTGAGTGCTCGCATTGTGACGCAGTTGGGTGCTTTCCTCAATGTGTGTCCTATCTACTTCCAGCACTTCTCCCTGATTTCTTCCTCCACTAGAATATGGTTTGTTCTGTCCGACAGTAGGTTGTTGCTGATAGTGTCTGGTCAAAGGCTTCGAAGCATTTTGCATGGACAACTGTTAATAAACATCTATATCTTTTGGATGATGGCATTCGTTGTTCTCCAGGTCGCCGTTACGTACAGTAGTACTGTCCTGATGTTTGTATTGAAAATTCTGACTTTGGTGTTGGTTGACAGACAATTGTTTTGAGTTCCATATATTTTTCAGTTGTAAATATGCTGCTCTTGCATTGCCAATCCGAGCTCTCACATCACGGAATTTAATACATTTCAAACTACTTTGTATCAGTAAGTAGTATGAACGACTCATAAAAAGTGTGGCAATCACGGATTAGAATTTGATGAAAGGATAAATCATCAATTCACCCTAACACAATTTAGTCAAAATCAAGTTGTTCACATTTGAGACTGGTGAATCCGTGTTGTTAGGTAACCTTTATCCATTTCATTCAATGGATAACTATCACAATCTGTACATGATTTACCCATATCTATCCAACTATCTTTCGATCTTTAAAATATCCGTCATTATTTCTACATCAGTCTGAACTTTATTTTCAATCTATATTTACTGTGTATTACTACAGCTTTTTAGGACTCTTCATTGATTTGGAGATGGGTCTCCTACCACAAGTACAATCTAAATTTCCATGAAACTACATACTATTGGTATTTAATGTAAGTAGTTAAGAATGATACTTGTGGATATTGATCATTGACACCATTATATGATTTGATGTCACAATATCTATTTCGATAGTATATATTTAGGTTAATTCTCTATTAATACTGAGAGACATTCGTTTTTATGAGCATTTCTAACTCAAAACATCTGGAGTCAACAAATATAAATGTCTAGTTAACTAACTACAAGGTTACATTTCATCCTGATTAGTTGAGTGAGTGAAGAATGTTTAGGTTATCCTTTTCATTAGGTTCTAGAATTTTCCATGATGAATTATGTAAAGTTGATATCTCATTACGAAAACATAAATGACTTCATGAAATTGACTTTGTAGCTGATGTTAAGTAGTTGGATAGATTCCGAAGGACACCATGAACATACGTGTTTTATTAGTTGACACTAGTCAATGCACCACATTCATGTTGACGACTATCTGGCAGTACGACACTTAGTTCTGGAACTTCCTGTTATTCGCATACAACCATCGAAGCATACTGACTGCAACGCAATGATTAGTCATTTAGATTAGTAGACATATTCAAGTTGGATGAAATGTAATAATCAGCCACCTTCGAATTGACTCCTCATACATCTACAATTCATTATCGTGATTCAGTGATATAAGCCGATATAGTAGTTTGTCAACCAATGCTCATTCATAACTAGCTTCAATATATTTCTCAAATACTAGCATTCAAAAAAATGTAGAGTAACAAACAACACAGTAAAAGATTTGAAGTTTGCGTTTTCCACTCTATTGTACATTCCAATTGTCGGGCCAGGCAGTGCTGCATCGTAAGGTGATGCGTTCCCATGTTAGCCGGTCACAACGATTGGTTCATACGCCATTTGTTCCCTCAGAATACTGTAGCCAGCCCATGTGCACCATTGGTTTGGAATCACGACAATGCATCTACCGTAGGTGGACGCGCTGCGTCTATCAACGCAGTTAAGGCACCGGATATTCGCATTTCGTTCTCTCAATTTCGTAAACAACAACCCTGGTGTGAGATGGCAGTGAGTAGGACTTCCCTGAAAGGGGCTATAAAAACATGGTCATATAAGATCATTTGGAGAGGCAGAGTGGACTCTCCCTACTCTCGGCCGTACCAGGGCATTTGGTGACTGTGAGGTGTGTCTTCGATTTTAACTGATTCGTCACACAATTCCCGTCCAACGCGAGCAGGCATTATGAATATTTGGAAGATAGATGATCTTTCACGTTGATTCTCATTTTATTTTTTTATTTTTATTTGATAGTCGATGATTCTTGCGATCCCAGCTTCAAGATCACTTTCTGAACTGGACATTATATGGTTTCCAAGTAGTTGGATTATTACATTGGGAATTACATTATTCATTGTAATATTCGGTGGATTAAAACGATTCGATATACAAAGATCTTTCAATGTATTCTTTACTGTTATATTCACTTTACAAGCAGTAGTTTATATCGTTCTCATTGTATTAAATCATTTTCGTTGCTATGATGTAAGTGAGTTTTTGCTTATTGGATAATTGTATATTTTGAGCAATATTAGTTGGTAAACAAATTAATTCAACCAAATCAAAATATCATATCAACACATAAAGTTATTGACTATTGTCCTGTATCACTAGTTAGATGCTCTCAAATTCGCATTGATTATTCAGTTTATGTTAGTCATGGATGTCTATTGTCACTGAATTTATTTTACTTACTTACACCTGTTACCCCCAATTAAGCAAATGCCGCCAACTAGCATTCTCCAACACACACCCTGATTTCTTCCTCCACTGGAATCTGATTTGTTCCCTCTCACAGTAGGTTGTTACTGATAGTGTCTGGTGAACGGATCCGAAGTATTTCTCGTTGACAATTGTTAATCAACACTTGAATGTTCTGGATGATGGCTTTCGTAGTTCTCCAGCTATCCTATTGCTGTTGAGGCTGCTGCCACACTGATCGTCTTCTACTGTATGTGTTTGTTGTGCGATAGATGAGCCGGATTATCCGCGGGGTCCAGATCGTTCAGCTGCATCCTAGCTGTCCACTATGTCTCATGCGTTTCTCCAGATGTTGACTTCTTCAAAATCCAGAAGAAAGAGGACAGGTGAGATTGAGCAACCTTGCATGACACCGCCCTTTACTTCGAACGAGTCTGTCAGCTGTCCTCCATGCTCGAACTTGCAATTTTATCAATCATAAGAAACCCGTACGACATCGACTATCTTCTCAGGCACGCCGTAGTATCAAAGAAGCCTCTGTAGTATGTACTGTCCATGCTATCAAATGCCTACTTCAATGAAGTTGAAGTAGAGTGATGAAATTCATTCAATTGATTGATCCACATTGATCCGTAGAGTTGCGACTTGGAGTGAACACGATCGATTCCTATGGAATTCATCCTGTTGATATTGAAATTGGGCGTCTAGGGAGTCCTGGTACTGAGAGAAGAGTGGTGCCTCTGATTGTCACTGAATAGTAAAAGTAAATGTACACTTATTCATCCAAATAAATTCTTATTTGTATGATAAAACTAATCACTATTATTATTGTTATTCAATAGGTAATCTTGATTATTTCTGGATTTGGAATGCTACTGACAATCATCTATGTAAGTAATTCAGAAGTACAACTCGAACACTAGTTATCACGTTTTATGGCTGATATTTGTAGTGTCGTTGATATGATCAATTGAAGATTGTTCATCTCCAAATATGAATCCACTGAACGATTGTCTTCACTTCCTATGTTATGACAAGTTGATTTCATTAGGGATGTACTGTCTACCAGTGTTTCGTTCTGTCTAGAACTCATGATCAGTTTAAGTCTGAGTTCGGTTAAGATGAAATATGTGCGCAAGATTTCTCTACCAGCTTCTATCCAAAATACAGTAAGGGGTTTTGATATTCTTCGTACCTTTGCTCCTCGTCGAAGATTAAGTACGTATCGTTGTAAATTCTATTCCTAGTATTTCTCATTAAATATCACCACTGATTTGAGCAGTTGTTTGTTTGGAGATACACTAATCAGTTACAGTAGAGTGACCAATACCTAGTCATCGTATCGTCAGGGTCAAGTTTTCAAGGTCTCCACTTACATGGAACTTAACACTGTATTGTACATTAACTGATGACAGATGATTATTGTTGTAATGTTGAAACCCATATTTGTTCAAGGTTCTGGGTAACTGCGCAAATGTAATTACATGAGGGCGTTAATGATAAGCTAATGGATTGTTAGAAGACGAAACAGTCGAAATGGGATATTTGCACGAATGAAAATTAACTAGGTGTGAGATATTGACCAGTTGACAAATACAATGGTGAAGTAGGTGAGTTATTTATCAAGAGAGGTGGGCTAATAAGAACACTTACATCCATCCTTAAATAACTCACTACAATTTAACAGAATGCTTTTGCATTAATCATTTCAGATGATGAAGTTAGCAAACTAAATAATAGAGAACAAATAACATTATGGTAAACGCTGACGTAAACTTTAATACTTTGTTCTAGTATGAGACTACTTGGAAGTGCGTATCCAAGATCTCACCCATCGGATTCGAACCCATAACTGTTCGATCCAATGCTTTCAGATTTTTTAGCTTTAAAATCAATTGAATCATTAAATTATTAAAATCTTCATAAACCACCCTTCTGTTTATAATATTTTGTGTTTAGTCATAGCCATTATTGTAATTGACAGTAACATACATATGTTGCACGATGAGTATACACATGGCTTTAGATGATTGAAGTAAAAGCATGATACTGATAAATATGTACATCAATATTTTCTATGTTGATTAGCATATGCAACAATAATGATTTGGATGAATATGATCATTTCAAGTGAAATAACACTTATGTGCACTGTATTCAAAAACGCAAGTCAGTGTTTTTGGGAGGATCAAATGGATATGTAATGGTCTATGCACATTCATTGGTGATTGTCCATGAGTGGTATCTTTTATTATGTGAAACTGTTATTGGGATCACAAGATCATTCACATTTAATTTGCCATACTAAAAATTGTAACCAAAATAGCTTTCTTCCTATGTGATTCCTTAAATGAATTTTTCCCATACTTCTGTTAGTGAAGCTTCTATTGTTGCGTATACGAAGTTGAACTGCTACGTTACATTCTGCTTGTTCTGTCATGAATATAAAGTTTTCACATAATTTTACTTTGTGTTATGGTGTTGAACACTAGTTTTCGTTATTGATATACACGGAAGAACCGGTTGTATTATAGTGAAGGAGAACACAAGTGGGAACAGTCAAATGTATTAGAGTACAAAATAACAGAATAACTTAGTTGAATCTGCGAACCATATAGTAAATAATTCATTTGCAAAATATCAGTCAGTCTCCTCAGACTTCATTGTTCCTCCGTCTCCACACCAATCACTCTCTGTTCTCGTTCTCATTTCTTCGATCTTATTCACCTTCTGAGACCAGGTTTTCACATTCGACTGATGATACATACTACTCATATCTATCGATATCAGTAGGACACACCACAGCAATTTTGCCCGTATTAGAACTCGAAGTATTAAAACTTGACAGAAACTATACCACTTCAATATGTGTAGATTATTCACATGTTGTGTTGCTTTTATTTCCGAAAGGAAACTGATCAACAACGTTTGTACTTCTTCAATATTTCAAACAGGTAATTTCAATTTATTCCGCTTGTTTTCCCATAATTTGTCTTCTCACTGTGTTATGGTGTTATATACTAGTTCTCATTACACAGAAGAACTGGTTGTATTATAATGAACAACACAGGCGGAAACAATCAAACGTATCAGAATACAATAATACAAAACATCTTACTAGACTGCGAGAACCATATAGTAAATAATTGATTTGCAAAATATCAGCCAATCACCTCAGACTTCATTGTTCATTGTATTTGTGATTAACTATCATGAAAGACTCACCTGGTTATCTCTGATATCCATCATTCTTTCATCCTTGTGGATTTGGTTCGTACGTCTGATACATATCCCAGTAGCTCTTCGGACTCTGTACAAAACATTTCACAATATTTGTACAATTGTTCCCGGTTCTCATCAATTCTTCCCGAGGTATGACTTGACGAACACTTTATCGCTAACAGTAAAACTTCGGATATCTGGATCCTTTCTGTACCCACCAACTGCATTCGATGGCAATATAATGTTGAAAATAGTCTGAATACGTTTTCCAAACATGACTCTGGAGGAAAAATTCCCGCCTGGGTTAGTAGACTTCGAAGTATTTTTGTCGTGAAGAATTTTTGTCCTATCATTTTAGTGATGCTCTTTTAAAGGTGTCGACAAAGAGTTCTCTTTGTCTGTTTGATTGAGAATGATAGGGTAGAGAACGTAGATGCGTTATCCCATTTATACTACAAAAGTGGTTGAATAAGTCCGAAATTAATTATGAGCACTAAGGTCTATGGGACTCCAAAACAACTAAACAAATTAAAAACACTTGTTGACTGTTTCGCAGACTGTGCAGCTAGAATTACTATATGCTTCCGGTCACTTCATATATGCATCCACAATAGCTAGAAACATTTTATGTTGGACTGGATCAGCGAAATCTCTGTGACGTCTCTACTAGAGTCCAGCAGGCTTAGGCCACTGTCTTTCGATGTAACATATTTTAAAAAAAAGCTTTTGCTAGAACATAATAATAATAATGATAATATATTCTGAAAATAATATTTACAGAATTCACACCAGTTTACAGGCATGATCAGATTGTTAAGAAAATCAACATTTAATAAAGAGAACAAACATGAAATATAAGAAAGTTTTAAGTTTACTGGTTTAGTAATTGATAAATAGTTTAAATATGGCATATGTCACCGCAAGCCAATGCAACACCAGGGAACTTGTCATTTTTTCATCAAGTGGATAGCCTGATGATTGACCAACATTATTCTGTAAGGTTATTTCCAGTGCCAAAGCAATTCATTGATAATTATCTACAACTAGAGAAAGTAAGATTAAAGCAAAGAGCACGGAACACCAAAACAATGATAGCAAGTAAGAGGTTAAACATTTAAAGTTCCTATAATCTCACTTGTGGAGTAAGATACACTTGCAGGCGCTAGAGCATTTAATGCATTTTCAGAGGAGCAAAAAGCATTAATTGAGCGAACAAACAATGGGAGAGAGTCTAACATACGGATAGGTTGGGGTAAATTATTCCAGAGTCTAGAAAACTTACTGGTAAAGTAATTCATATAGAGAGAAGATCTAGAATATGTTTGTTTCGCTAAAGACAAGGAGTTACGAATGTCGTAATGTGAGGCCTTAGCATATTGAATCGCCTGGCTGGATGTGAAGGAGAGTTTGTTAAGTATTTTGAAAAAGAAGATAAGGTTAAGTTTGAGTCTCCTCATCCATAAAGGGTCAAGCCCTAGTTTACTACACCTAGAATTATATGTCAAGACACTATCAGGTCCAAGAGTACGAAATGTAAAGCATCTCTGTACTGATTCCAGTCT